GCTTAAAGCGATCTTTAGCGTCTACCTCGCACGTGGTCTCGTGCAACCTCGCTTTGACCGTCACGAATGTGTCGTACGACGACTGCATAACGCTTAACAGCGTGTCTACGATAGCGCGCACGGTCGTTTCCTCCGAGTGTATGCTCTCGGCTCGTAGCAGCCACAGTATAGCCGGGATCAGTCGCGGCGTGACCAAGAAGCGTGCTATCGCCCGAAAGTTTTCACGGTAACGCTCTTCTGTCAACTCCATGGTCAAGCAAGTGTGCGCTTCTTGGTTACCTTGCTGCTCTGCGCATCCGCAACACTGCTCTCGCGCATAATCGTGCCACACCGAATCGAACAAGTGTACAAAGCACATCTGCACCGCGGTTACCAGATCGGATCGCACACCGCGAAAGATGTAGAACGCGTTCAAGAGTCGTTCGCCCGAGGTTTCACCCGACTGCTTTTCTAAAGCGAGAAACGTGCTGTACGATGACGCCATCGCACAAAGCAGCGTGTCCACTATAATGCTCACAGTCAAATCGTTTTCTCGCATCCCCTCGGCTTCCACTAGATACTGTATAGCGGGAATCAGCTGCGGCGTGATCAGTTTGCTAAGGAGCGCTTCATAAAAGTTAGCGTAGTACGCTTCGGTTAACTCGAGCTGCATGTAGTAACCACACCACGTCTCGCGGAACAAATACACAAGGCCTCTTTGTACCATTTTCACTACATCGGGTCGTACGCGTGCTCCATACATGTCCTTGGCAGCATTAGAGTTTTGCGTGTTGCGACGGTCCTCTGTTAGCTCACCGGCACTCGCTGACGCTCTCTTGTCCGACCGCGATGCGAGTGAGTCCTCTATTGCTCGTGACTTCTCCGTATGACACATATACTGGTCTTTCACCGTTGCGCTCGCGGAGGCTCCCCCTGCCAGGGCTCGTGAAAGATTACGCGCGTGATGCCGATACATGCGGCGAGGTGAATGTATCTCGCAAGACAAAAACAAGTCCGTCTCGTCGGCCATCGTGTGTAACGTTCGCCGCTGACTCGAGTGCGCTTACCAGAGCGTAAACTCGCACTTTGCGATAGTCTATTGTCGTGTGTGCAGAGCGACCTCATTTGTACTCAGCACGAAACCACGAATTTTTTTTTTTTCGAGAGTATGTAGGCGGTGCGTGCACCCTCAACTGGTTCGCTACTTAATG